ATAAAATTAACTCGCAACACACCATGCATGTAAATATTGAATTTTTTATAAAAAAAGAACTTTTACCCAAAATCAGGCAAAGCAGGCAGGAAGATTGAGTTGCTCACAGAATCATTCTATCTATCTGCCATCGGCTAGCTCAGTCTCTCAAATTTGCTTGCTGTGAGTCTGCACTGAATAATAGAACCTTCAGTCCTAAGGGAGGTTCGGCTGGGCTTAAAAGCAGAGCCGAAGATCTAAAGACTAGCCAGAAAGCAAGAAATCCAGCCATTTCCTGCTTCCTAGCTAACCTAAATCTCCCGGCACAGCAGAACACCTGAGGTCGGAAAAAGGAAAAATAGCAATTTAGCAGGCAAGTTTGCCGGGTAAGGAGTGAGTGGGCGGGGAGGGTTGTAAGTATCATTACCATCTATGTTAAGCATCATCTTCCACATAGCGGGTCTGACAGACTGATGGAAGCCAAACCAGACCTCCCGACCTCCTCCCAGAGGGTGATAGTATCCTTCAGGGGGAGAGAAGAAGGAACGCCCCACTGGAGTGTACCTGGGAAGATAATTAGAAAGAGGGAACCATGTTACGTGCTCATGAAAGCTCACAACTTTGACTTCAGTTGAGGCCCAACAGAAACAATATTTTTCTCATTTTGTTATCTTCTTCTAAGGAGATGCAAAGCCCAGATCCTGTCTCTATATCTAGAAATTATTGAAACATAGAATACTGGTGGTTTTATCACATTTCAATGAAATCTACACAAGTGAACTCTTATTTTGTCCTTTCCTCCCCTAAACATTCTGGGATTTTTTGATCTTTTTCATGGTGTCATTCCCCCACCCTGGCCAAAAAAATAAATAAATTACAACATGAGAAATGTTCGGTCAATGGATTACTGAATGGAAGTGAGTAATGATAACAGACACATCTCAAGCTAGTTATGAGCATCTTCTTGGTGTTCGTGTTGAAAAAATATGAATCAGATTTTACCTCATGGAAGCCAGGTGTCTCATGGCGACATCAAGGGCCTGGACAGATTCCAAAGGAACAGGGATTTGCCCGCTCACTAGAGCTTCATGGAGCATCCGCCAACTCACAATGGCCATCCATTTAATGGAGACCTTAAATATTCGGTCTTTGCCTTCCCCTGGAATTGTCACCTCAAAATCAACCTGCAAAAGACCAAGGAAACAACATGAACCCTTGAATTTTGGCTTCCTTCCCCTAATCCAAAAATGTCAACTTGCTGTCACCTGCTTTGCATATTCCTGGAACAATTCAAATTTTAAACCTAGAACTCTCTTGAAAAAAAACAAAAATCTGTTTGTTTTTATCACAGTCCCATGCTGCAAACAAGAAACAACAAGGAAGCACACATACTATTACAGGTGGTCCTCGACATATTATCATAATGGAGGCTTCCCATCATGGTCATAACCTGTAATGGTCATAAAATGGGTCAGTCATGTGGGCAACCCACTTTGACGAACTATTTTTACAGTGGAGGTTAAGAGAACCATTGGAAGTTTTCAGTTTTCAGCAAAATTGTCCTAAAATATGGTCATGTGACCACGGGACACTGCAAACTGACGTAAATGTGACCAGTTGTAACTCAAAGTGTATCTGTGGTTATTTGTTAGATTCCCATCTTTCCTCCTTTGATTTTTTTTTCCCCACATAAACACCATGAGGTAAAAATTGGTCTCAGGGTGAGCACGCTGAGAGTGAGTTTCAATGGCTGAGTGGATCAATCTCTTCCTAATTTAATATCTTAACTATGATATCATCCTGTCCAGGACTTCAGATATGCAAATATTTCTTGCTTTCAGAAAAAGAACACTAAGGGTTGTCTAAATTTTAGGGCGTGTCAAATTTTTCAACTTTCAATTTCCAAACATTAGGGGTGCTCAAAAGTTGCGACATGCCTTGGGAATTGTAAAGGTATTTTTGGTTACTTTAATATAATTGTGATGACCCAGGGTGTGGCACAAAAGCAACAAAGTCACAAAAGTAGGTAAAGTCCCTTTAATACCTCCAACTTGGCCGCCAATGTCCAGTTATCTTCGGCTGGAGAAAAAACTCTCCCAAGAACAGTTTTTAAAGGGAAGAAATTCCATCCGAACCCAAAGTACATATTAATTATAAATAAAAACCAACACAAACCACGCTGCAGCAATTAATGAAATAGAACAGGATAAGGAATTGAAGACTTCAAAAGATAAGGAAACACACACAGTTGGGAGGACGCCAGAACCCAGATAAGACTTGACAAACAAAGATAATGCACGCTTTGCTTCCAACAACTTTGCTGTGTGTAGTTTGCCTTTTTGAACAGTTTTCCCAGCTGCAGCTAATGAAGGGGATCAGGGCCCTTTCTTTCCCTGTAAACCACGTAACTCACATTGTTCCCTTCTCCATTCCTCCCTGCGTGCCCTTGGGATGAAGAGGGGATGGCCCTGGGTCTTCCTCTGAATGTCCAGCTGGACTGTGCCCTTCCCCAGTTTCTTCCACAGCCACCGGAGCCACACTCCCACTCCCTGTCAATTGCTCGACCTCCCCCTCAGAATCAGATTCCAACAGGGGCATGACAATAATTTAGATGTGCTGGGTAAGTAACGGCACAAATATCATAACATTTAAACATTTTGTTTGTTTCATTTGTCTCACCCCCTTTTTCCCCAATGGGAAACACTTTGAATTCATCACTTTCTGAGTTAGAAGCAGGCCATTCCACACTTACAGAAATGTTCTGACCACACCAGAAGAATATTAAGCTCAGAGTAGCTCCAGTACGTTCAGAACCTGTTGCACTGTTAAGACAACCTAGTTTGAATCTAAAAGGTTTTGCACTTGACTTTTAACTCCTTACCCTTTCGTTTCCAATAGGTAGAGCTGTAACAGTGTAGATGTTCTTCTTTCCATCGTACACCGGTTTCCGGTCTCCAAAGATCTGAGGTTTGAAGTGTTGTACCATATATTCCACAACCTCCCTGCAAAAATAAAAAAAAAGCAACAGACAGACATCGGACGGGGAGAGGAGGAAAGAAAAAGGAAAAGCTAGAAAGACACGTTTAAATATAATTCTGCTAGGAAGCTAAAATGATTAGAACCGAGAGTCCAAGGGAAAAAAAATCCACTATTTCTCAAGTCATTGGTTGCAAAGGAAAAAACGGGAGCTTTGATCTAAAGCAGGCTTAACACAATTGTTTGTTGCACATAAACCAGGCCAAACACAAGCACACTGAATTTACAAAGTGGAAGTCATATTTGAAAGCCATATTTTACTTAGAAGCTCAAAGGTGCCACATTTTTATGCCTGGGAAATCCCGCTGAAGGGGGATTTTGTAGAGTGGTAGAAAGTTAGACTCAACAACATTCTTCTCATAAAGTCAAGGACAAGTTACTCTGCACCTGGGAAGGAGTGTCTGGAGGAAGGTCTCCAGTTGGGACGTTGATTAGGCCATGTGATGTACTGGTGGGTGCAGGGGATGGGTTTGTGAATTTCAATTGGGGAGGGAAAGCCCGGAACTCTCATATTCGGGTTTTCCTAGATGGGCCAATATGATTTGTTCAATAAATTCTTGCTTGGATGAATCTTTTTTCTGAGTGCTGAATGAAATGGGGAGTTTCATTGAAACACTGATAGTCTGCACCGCCAATCAATAATTTGGAAGGATATTGTATTTGCTTCGCAAGCCAAAACCCTGATTTTTAATGAGGCTGCAGAATTATGAGTCCTGGTGGCGCAGTGGTTAAGAATGCAGCATCGCAGGAAAAATCTGCCCACAGCCTGGAGTTTGGTAAAATGGGGACCCAAATTATTGGGGAAAATATGTTGATGTTGTAAACTGCTCAGAGACTGCTGAGGAGCACCATGTAAGTCTAGGGACTATTACTATTTACTTGTTGTTAAGAAATCTGCCTAACTTTAGAAAAAGAGGAATATCCGTAAGGTTTTTAACATGGCTGCATAAATTAGCTTGAAAGCATGACGTTGAAAAAGGAAAAAAAAGTCCTAACAAGTAATAATTAAAAAACTATTTTAAAAAGTATAATAAATATGAAATCATTAGCAGAGCGGAGGATTTAATATATTTACCATGAACATTTTTCCCCTACTGAAGTCCACCTATAGACATTATAGGGTGTGTTTTTTTTTAATCTCTGGAGATTTTTAAGAGGTTGGACAGTTCATCTCCCACTTCACCTCTCATCATGATTGTCCTGAGCATTGCAGAGGGTTGGACTAGATCCGTGACGAGTGCCACGGCCAAACTTACCTGCCCTGTGCATGCATGCGCCTCCCAGCTGATTTTCGGCCCGTTTGAGGCCATTTTTGCCCTCGCAGAGGCTCGAGGGAAGCCTCTGCAGCCTCTGCAGGCCGAAAAACGGGCCTTCTGGAAATACCGGAAGTGCCTAAACAGGCCCATTTTCAGCCTCCCGAGGCTGCAGAGGCTTCCTTCGAGCCTCCAGAAGGGTGAAAACAGCCTCCCCTTGGCTCCAGAGGCTAAAAACGGACACTTCCGGTATTTCCAGAAGACCCTTTTTTCGGCCTCCTGAGGCTGCAGAGGCTTCCCTCGAACCCCTGGGTGAGTGAAAACGGCCTCAAATGGGCCGAAAATCAGTTGGAAGGTGCGCGCATGCGCAGTGCAGGTAAGGGGGGAGGTGTTACGCGCATATGTGTAGGGGGGCAGGGGACATTGCATTGTGGATGCCGGCAGGCGCTTGCTTTCGGCACACCACAACAAAAAGGTTCGCCATCATTGGACTAGATGGTCGTTGGGGTCCCTTTGAACTCCACCACTCTGGTCTTTAGTCTCTTCCAGTTAACATGGGATTTCAATTCCTATAAAGCCCAACCAGCATGATCATGCACCAAATGGTTTTCAGATTCAGAAAGTTAAAATTCCAGCTTATCTGACTGGGTCGGCTAGAGTATTTTGACTATTTGATCAAGTAACTGTCAGATATATTTAATATATAAATTGGATCATACTGGGTTGTGTGATTTTTCAGCTCAGGGGGTGTGAGAAGAGTCTGCAACTTACATTTTGCAATTGCAGTTGCCCTCTTGCTTGTTTTGACTCAACTTATGACCATTACTAAGTTGCTTAATGACCATTCCAAATAATGACAGGCATCCCTAAAGTTACTTATGACCCATTTTCAGAGTTACAACAGCTGTTCACGTTCACTTGATTGCGTTTTGGACCCTTGGCAACCCGCCAACTGGCTCACCTTTTCGGCCATATGTGTCTGCGATTTGTGACATTTTAGCCCCTTTCTGAAATTTACTTCCGGCAAAAAAAAAACAAAAAAAAATCCATTGGGGGAAAATGGATTCACTTAATGCCTGCAGAGGTCACTTAACGACCATTGTAAAAAAAAAACAATAAGTTGTTTCAAATCTGGTGCATGACGCCTCAACTTAACCTTTTACGGACATAATTTGGGGGTCGATTCGTCCTAAGTCAAGGACTCCCTGTAGATTCCTGCACAGAGAAGAGACTTGGAAACAAGGACCTCCGTGATCCTTCCAACTCTAGGACTTCAGAAAGCTGTGAGAAGCTTCATATTTACACATAATGCTCTCTCAGATCTCTGACCCTCCCAAGTTTGAACATTTCGCTACAGGAAGGAGGATATTTAAATGGCAGCCCAGCTGTCTAAGAGCAGCTATTTTAAAAGCTTGGGACCACAGCCAGCTCCACCCAGCTGCTGTAAACTGAACGGAGATGGAAGATCAAGGCTCTGTTTTCTCCTGAGCCACCAAAGCATGACCGGAGATGATGAGGGAGGAGAAGAGACATCAAACACCGTGCTTAACAGGAGATGGAGCATCGAAAAATGTCATCTTACTCCCAGCCAACCTAAGCAAGAACAGCCGTTCCAGCCATAGCAAAGTTGAATAGGGCCAAGCAACCAGGTAGACTGAAAAACAGCTCAGCCAAGAAATGGGGCTTCTCAAAACTTGGCAACAGGCAGGAAGAGATGCCTCTATGTGCCTTTTTCTTTTCCAGCCCACAGGTACTTCCTCTAGAACAGGAAGGAGTGTCCAACCTTGGCAACTTTAAGAAGACCTGTGTCCCAAAGATGTGTTTTTTTCCCCCAAAAGACAACTGGACTTTCTTGTCTTTTGCTTGAAGACATATCGCTTCTCATCCAGTAAGCTTTTCTTCAGTTCTTCAAGCAAAACAAGCAAGTCCAGTTGCCTTTTGAAAGAACACCTTTGGGACAACCATCACCTGGATGACTGGGAATCTCCATGGACATTTAATACCTGTGGACTTCAACTCCCAGAATTCTGAGAATTGAAGTCCACAAGTCTTAAAGTTGCCTAGGTTGGACAACCCTACTCTAGAACAGGAGGAACATGTTCACCTGAGGTGTTTGGTGTGTTTTTTTGGTGAGGGCTGGAGGGAAGAAGAAATGTCTAAATGCTAATACTTGCCTTACCTGTTGACTCTGCGTGGACACTTGTCCGGCTTGATGTCAACTTCATAGTGATAGACATCGATTTTGGGAATGTCCACCTCAAAGTAATTGGCCAAGAGCTTGATGGGCTTCCCAACAGTTCCTATCCCAGGCCGACGAGGAGCTTGAAATACCTGCTGGAGGGGTGGCAGGTAAGTGCCTGCAGCAACTGCTAAAGAAACAACAATTGGAAGTGGAGGAGAGAGAGAAAGAGAGATGTGAGAATCCAGCAGCTGAAAAACATTTTAGAGTGTCCAGATCAGAGGTCTCCAAACTTGGCAACTTTAAGACTTGTGGACTTCAATTCCTAGAATTCTGGCTGGGGAATTCTGGGAATTGAAGCCCATGGGTCTTAAAGTTACCAAGTTTGAGGACCCCGGTCTAGATCATAGATATCCAACCTTGATAACTTTTAAGACTTCTGGACTTCAATTCCCAGAATCCTCCAGCCAGTACAATACAGAAAAGGTGTCCCTAATCACTTTCTATGGAGCCATGGTAGCACAGTGGTTACAATGCAGAATTGCAGGCTAACTCAGCCCACAGCCAGGAGTTCAACCCTGACCAGCTCAAGACTGATTCAGCATTCCATCCTTCCATGGTTGATGAAATGAGGACCCAGATTGTTGGAGGCACCATGCTGATATTTGTCACTGTTCAGAGAATGCTGCAAAGTGTGGCCAATAAAGAATTCCATTCTATTCTATTCTATTCCTATTCCATTCCATTCTATTCTCGTCTAAATGTTATTGCTGTGTGTGCATCAAATCTCCTACTTACCCCACCTCTGACCTACGAGAACTCCAGAAGCATCCAGTTGGTACAATGCAAATCAAAATACAGGACGATTATGACTACGGTTTGATGTAACACAGGAGGGCTATTCTTATTTTTGTGTTTATTGTTTTGTTAACCTCTTTTTTTCCATGTCAACTGGATTTTCCCTTAAGTTTATTGAAATGAAATGCCATCTGATGTTGATTCTCCTATAAAGCATTTCTGGAGAAAACGACATCACTCCCTTTTTCTTCTTGATCCATGTCCATGATCCACAACATCCGAAAAAAATCAAGCTTGGCTAGCACTGTTCAAACCACATTTTAGTTTTGTTTTTTTCAAAAACAAACTGGGCTGATGCAATTAGTTTATAATTGAGCGTATTGCATGACTCAGAAAATTGGATTAGTTGTAAGTTACCCGTGGATAAGGCAGAAGTGAAACGAAACTTTACCTCCGTTGCAAACGCTGTTTTGCATACAAAAGGTTTAGCTTCAATCCTTGTTAGCAATGGCGAAGACTCTATAGATAGTCCTTGACTTAAAACCATTTGTTAATTCAAAGTTACAATGGCACTGAATAAAGTGACTTACAACCGGTCCTCACGCTTACAACCAACACAGCATTCTCATGGTCACACAATCAAAATTTGGATGGCGACTGGTACGTAACAGTTGTAGCATCCCAGGATCATGAGGCTGTCATTGCAACCTTCCCAGCTGGATTCCAGCAAGCAAAGTCAATGGGGGAGGGGGGGAGTCAGATTCACTTAATGACCACATGATTCACTTAAAAACTGCAATGGTTAGATTAACAACCATGGTAAAAAATTTGTAAAAATGACCGTGACTCAATTAATTGCCTTGCTTAAAAACAGAAACTCCGGTCACAATTGTAGTCGTTAAATTGAGGGCTACCTGTCCTCTAAAACCATCAGTGTGGATGAAATGTAGACCAATCATGCTTTCCAGGTGTTGATGAATGTTTCACAATGTTGAGGGAGCTAGGAGCTGTAAATAGACCACGCTTGAAGGGCTGCCCCTGTAGCTCATCTAGATTTGGAGCGCCTATTTAATACAAGGTGAAAGTACAGGTAGTCCTCAACTTACAACTGCAATTGAGCCCAAAATTTATGTTGTTAAGTGAGAAGTGAGTTTTGCCCCATTTTACCATTTTTCTTGGCACATTTGTTAAGCGAATCATTCCAGTTGTTTAATTAGTGACATGGTTGTTGAGTGAATCTGTCTTCCCTACTGTCAGAAAGTCGCCAAAGGGGATCACGTGACCCCAAGACACTGCAACCATCATAAATGTGAATCAGTTGGCAAGCATCCAAATGTAAATCACGTGATCAGGGGAATGCTGCCATGGTCATAAGTCATTTTCTTCAGTGCCGTTGTAACTTTGAACGGTCACTAAATAAAGTGTTATAAGTCAAGGACTACCTGTATCTCCTTTGTGTTCATTTTCATTACAGATTTGGTAATGTCTTCAGATCTTTGCTGGTCTCTATTGTCCTTTTTAAAATGCCCGTTAAAAAAGAAACCACAGCTGTCATGGTAAAGAAAGAAAGGAAAGTTTCTTTCCTGCTACTGCTAATCCTCAAAATTGTGTGTGTTAATCATAAGCCCTCACCTTTCGACATCCGCCTTCAAACTGCCTATAAACTCTCAGAGAAATGTTACTCAAGATAACAAATTTAGTAGCATGGCCTTTGTGGGGAAAGTTGTAGGAAAAGAACCGGCAAAGCTGGTGGGCAGAGTTAAACGAGTCATCAGCGTGGACTCCTTACGTTCCCACAAACATTCCATTCACCCTTATCTGGCACTGAACTTTAATTGACTAGATTCTTGTATAAAGGCTTGAGCAATAAATCTTAGAAGCTGGTGGGAAGATGGCAAATGGCAATCACATGACTGTGGGGCTAGTTCCAGGCACCCTAATTAATTTGACATACTGCACCTGTGTATGGTTTGCCAATTGCACAGTGGCAGATAGGAAAGCGCTCCAGAGGGTTAACATCATGGCTCAGAGGATCATTGGTTGCCCTCTCCCCTTTTTGGAAGAGCGTTATAGCTCCCGCTGCCTTAAGAAAGTTCAAAACATTCTCAAAGATCCATCTCATCCCGGGAACCCTTTTTTGAACTATTACCATCTGGCAGACAGTACAGGACAATAAAAACAAGGACAAATAGGCTGAAAAACAGCTTCTATCCCAGGGCAGTAACTCTATTGAATTCTACTGTATAGTGCAATATTATGCAATATCAGGGGTTTTCAATTCAATTGTATAGAATCCAAAGGATGTATCTTTGTTTTTTTTATTTTTTATAGTTATAATGTACATTGAAGATGGCATTTAATTTTGTTGTACCAGGTGCAATGACCATAAAGTAAATTAAATTAAACTAATCATGGCTGCATGACCACATGGATGCTGGGAAATATCTAGATCTCCAAAGAGTAGTCATAACCATCACTCATTCAGTGTCATCATAACTTAGAACAGTGCTGAATGGGTGGTCTTTAACTAAGGACTACCTGTATTCCTGAGGAAATTGTGAAAAAAATGCTGCCTCTGCTCTATAACTTTTAGGTTTTTAAAAAATACTTTTAACTAAATTATTAATTTTACAACGCCCATCTACAAGAGGTGACACATGCATGTTTTATAAAAGGATCACAAAATCAAACATTATTTTTGCATTAATGTTCCTACACATGTTAATATATTCAGGCCAGTGGAGGAAAGCTGTTATTTCCCAGCTTGTTTTACACTATTAAATCAAATACAGGTAGTCCTCGACTTACAACCATTGATTTAGCAAACATTCTAAGTTACAAGGGCACTGAAAACAGAGTTACGACTTCCCCATCATCGGACTCTCACCAATGACTCATACCTGACCCATCACAAGTCCCCAACTTGACACACCCACCCTCGAAGCCCTTATAAACAGAAGAACAATAACACTGACACAAAGGTGGTCTTCAGCAGGTTCTGACCAGTTCTGGAGAACCGGTAGTGGAAATTTTGAGTAGTTCGGAGAACCGGCAAATACCACCTCTGACTGGCCCCGCCACCATCTATTCTCTGCCTCCCATTGAGTCCCAGCTGATCGGCTGAGTCTCCTTTTGTTGCCCTACACAGGAGAACGGAGCTGGAAAGCAGGTTAGTGGGGTGGGGAGGGAATGGGGATTTTGCAGTATATCCTTCCCCTGCCACGCCCACCAAGCCACGCCCACCAAGCCACGCCCACCCCATCAAGCCACACCCACAGAACGATCGTAAAAGAAATTGAATCCCACCACTGTGTGACTGCCACCTCCTAAACTCTACTGAAGAGGTTACCTAGTCTGGTAATGAAATGTTTGGAAACCAACCCACAAGCTTGGAGAACGAACCTTCACCCTCAGCCTTAGGACTTGTCCTTGCATTTAGCACTGCTGCAGCAACCCTTTGGTTATGTGACCAACATTTAGGCCTCTGGCAACAATTCCTGACAGATGCAGCATCCCAGGGCATCCTGATCCCAATCTGTGGCTTTCCCCACTGGCTTCCAACAAGCAAAGCTAATGGGAGAAGCCTTAATGCTCTAAACTTGAGGGCGATTCACTTAAAACCTATCATGATCTGCCTAAACAATTGTGGTTAAAAAAAAAAATGTTGTAAAATCAGACTTGATTCACTTCACAATCGTTCTGTTTAGCCACTGAAATGCTGGTCCCAATTCTGTTCTTAAGTTGAGGACTACCTAAATAGGTAAAAACGGTACAAGGGTTCATGTAGTGACCATTTGAACTTAGGTCACTGAAAAAAGTGACTTGTGACTTGTTTTTCACACTTATGACCGTTGCAGCATCCCCATGGTCATATGATTAAAATTCAGACACTTGGCAACTATTTATGATTATACACACACACACACACACACACACACAGAGAGAGAGAGAGAGAGAGAGAGAGAGAGAGAGAGTAACAGGATGACGGTGGACATCAAGAGAAGTTTTTTCAACCATCAATGTTGTATTTAAAGTAGGGCTCTCCAAACTTGGCAACTTTTGAGACTTGTGAACTTCAACTCCCAGAATTCCCCAGCCAACATGGCTGGCTGAGGAATTCTGGGAGCTGAAGTCCACAAGTCTGAAGTTGCCAAGTTTGGAGACCTCTGACTTAACAAATGGGCCAAGAAAAGTCGTAAAATGGGGCAAAACTCACTTAAGAAATGTCTCATGGTCCAGAATAGATATGATGTGGACGTCAACAGAATTATTATCTAATATTCAAGAAATAAATATTGAAACAAGTACATGGGCAGATCATAACCCAATGACAATTAAATGGAAAGGACAAAAAAGAAGATCTAGATGGACATTAAATAATACTATTTTAAA